TTTGTACAGTAATATTGATATATAATATAATGTGTATTGTTTATTTAGTAAATTCTAGTAGTTTAGAGATTTTGATTTTTTTTTGTAAAATTTAAAAGAATAAATAAATGTTACTACACCCAAAAATCCTTTTTTTCAGTGTAGCTTCATTCACTTCCTCAGCTGCCATTGTTAAACTACAGGCAGACTATAACAGCTGATTGGCCTGGGTGAAACTCTGGTGAAAACCATGTCAATGAGAGAAGGTCCAGATGAAGAGAAGGGAGATTAGAAAGACAGTGACCAGGCTCAGACTGGACCAGGACCCAGGATCTAGGTCATGACCTCATCCAGTCCACACTGAGCTGGTAGCTCTGAACTTATTGAGTTCTTCTTAGTTACAAATGTGACATTTTYCTCTGACCATGTGGCTGCAAAACCCAGTCCATGCTCCACATGCACCAGTACACACTGCATCACACTCAGCCTCAGCGATATGATGATGTCATGACTGACAGATGGTGCAAGCTTATGACAGGAGAGCATCTTTGAAAAGAAAATAGCAGAGAAACCGTTTTTCATCTGAGAGTGTAGCAACATAATGACTGAGTACTACAGACTGAAGGAGGTTTCTCAGGTTTCCTGCAGTCTAACCAGGTTCTAACAGGTGTAGTCAGGTCTTTAATAAACATGAAGGGACCGCTCAGTTTCCCAAAACACATCCATGGCTTAGCAGAGAAAAGGTTTAAAATAAGGACCATTTGATAAGAGGTCACCTGTAATTTACAGACAACAGGTCAAACACTGAGTTAAGTGTTTAATCTTCACATTGTGACTCAGATTAAAATWATAATAAAAACAAAACTCTTAGTGGTGAAACTTAGTTTTTACAGGAATTAAAAACTTCTTTTCTACTCCAGATTTTTGCAGTTATCTATATTTGATCCATTTCTTAGAAAGCAATCTGGAAGACATCTGCTGAAAACTATTTAAAACTGACGTAAAGACAAACTAACGTCTTGTGAAAAATAAATAGGCTTATACTGTATGTGAGCCATCAAATCAAAATGAGGATTAAGTCAAATTTAATCAAAATGACCTAATTACATTTTCAGATTCTTGTCTTTAAAAGCTACATTTTGATACCTGGATCATCCTGATATCATAATTAAATCCATATATATGACTTAATTTGTCTTGTTGGTTACAATAATACATAAATATTTGGTCTGAATCCTAATTTTATGTCATTTTAATGAGGAATWTTTGATGTCCTTATAAAGAGGAAACCTCAAATTATATTTGAATATTGAGATTTACCAGAAAAAAAGAAACAAACTTTACTAACTCACAGGGAAAATCTCAACATTTTAAGGTGTTTTTCCTCAATATCAGGTTTTTTGTTGCTACTGCTCAAACAATGCTTCAAGATTTAGTTTTATGATTAAATTTCAGACAGTTYATTCAGATTGATGGGTCACATATTGTTACACAGTATTGGACAAATGTTTTTACTCCTCAGCAGTTCTACAGAAGCATCAAGCTCTAATTTTTCTACATTTAGAAAACAAAATAATTTCCTAAAGTAAGAAAGAAAGATGCAAACTTTACAACACACACATATTGTGACGAGCTGTTGTTGTTCTTGTTGTCCTCCACATGTAGCTCCATAGTCAACGTGCCGGGTGAGTCCACCCTGCGCCGTGACTTCATCCGGCTGCAGCAGGAGAACAAGGAGCGCTCGGAGGCCCTGCGCCGCCAGCAGCTCCTGCAGGAGCAGCAGCTCCGCGAGCAGGAGGAGTACAAGAGGCAGCTGCTGGCCGAGAGGCAGAAACGAATCGAGCAGCAGAAGGAGCAGCGGAGGAGGCTGGAGGAGGTGAGCACCTGACACACCTGGCTCAGAGCTGGCCTTCACACTGTGCTCAGGTTCATAAAGGGAGACCGTATCATTATTTTATTTACTGTTTTTACATTGAACAATAAATATATTGTGTGGTATTTTAAATAATTTCTACTCTCTGGTCTAAAAGAAGTCATTAAAGTTTAATGAAATCAGGGAAACACCTGTGATGTACGTATGTTACACACCTTGGTGTTAACAAATGTCAAAGTCAATTTATTTATACAGCACATAAAAACAACAAAAGTTGACCAAAGTGCTTCACAATTCAGCCAAATGAATAAAACAACAGAGCAGCACAGAAATGTAAACAATAAAATCAATTTAAAATACAGAAAAACATTAAAAACATTATCATTAAAATAATCTCAAACTCTACCAGAATGAAAGGCCAGGGAGTAAAATGAGTTTTAAGTAGAGATTTAAAAGTCTCAACAGTCTCAGCAGTCTGAACACTAAGAGTTAAATCATTCCAGAGGTTTGGGTCCGATCTCCTCTGAACTTTAGTCTGGATCCAGGACCATCTAAGAGGACCTGTTGGACTGAAGTGTGGATGTTAATGAGATCACACAGGTAGGATGGGG